ATAATTATAAGAATTAAACACTCTTGTTAAAAGAGACTGGCAGAATAGATTAAAAAATATAATCCAGATACAGACTGTATACAGGAGAGACAGACTCCAAACATACAAAGAAAGTAAAAGGAAAGAAAAAGATACCAGGCAAATACTAATCAAAAATAAGGCTAATGTATATATGTTAATACAAAACAAAACAATTTTTGTTTTAGAATATAAAGATAAAGGAATATCAGTATACCACAATGATGAAAAGTTTGATTTACCCAGAAACAAAATACTAAAAGCAAAATACTAAAAGCAAAACTGAGTACGAATACAAAAGGAATGACCAAAAAAGTCTCCTTTTTAATACACCTCTCTCTGTATTATATTAAACAGGCCAACCACTCCCCACCCCCATCAACCGAAAACCTCAAATCAGTAGAAACATCAAAGCAGTATCACGTTTAACACTCTTGATCTCACTCAAGAGAACACTGGACCCAACAACTGGACAGCACACATCCTCTTCATACACATGTAAAATAGTTTTGGAAAAGGACTAAATGTTGTCATAAAGCTAGTCTCCCTAAGTTTCAAAGACCACATTTTCTGACTACAATACAATAGTTAGAAATCAAAAACAAAAATATAAATAGAAAAACTCCATGTTTGAAAATTTAAAACTTTTCTAAAAACTATAAAAATCTACATCATGCATCAATACGAGTGCATCTAAAACAACTGAAATAATTAAGTCACAGAACACTATATAAAGAATGATTCATTTGTTTAAATTAAGAAACACATTCATTGGTGATAAAACTATAATAAAAAGACAAGGGAATTATTAACGGAAAATTCACTCTAGTGGTTCTCTCCACTGGTGAAGGGACTGTGGTGGTAGGAATAGAGAGAAGCTATATAAGGCCCTCTATAGCACTATTAAGGTTTCATTTCTTGAGCTGGGGCTAGAGATCTGGGTGATCATTTAAAATTTTTGTAAACTACATATAAGCCTTATACACTTTTAGATGACAATAGAATTATAATAAGTTATTAAAAAAATATGTGGGGAGGAAAAAAGGAATTAGGTGTTATTGTCAAAGTGGAGCTAGAGTGACAAGGGTGAACAAGTTGTCATCCATATCCAAACTTTCTCTCTAGATTCTCTGATGCCTCTCCTTGCCTCCTCTATCAATTGATAAAGGCAAAACCAATCTCACTCTGTGATACTTTTAGAAAAGGTACATTCTCGCTCATCCAAGGTCTCCCTTATATCATTCCAAGGATCAGCTCCAGGGTCTTATCTGTCGTTCCTGACGTAGATTATGTTCATTAAAATGTCTGCATTAAAACGAGTTTATAGGCACTTGTCTTTATTTTTCCATCCTACAAGGGGTGAGATGATATTTAGAAACTGGTGAGTCACTGTTTTACCTGCATGTCACTTTGGGCAGCTCTCACAGCATCAAAAAGATCACTGGCTGGTGGCTCTGACTCTTTCTGGCTACGACCACGTACCATTCGGGACCCCTTCTTTGGATGTTTTGCCACCTAAGAAGTATAAAGAGATCAGGAATATTTTTAAATATGAAAATGATCTTGACACTTGGTTTCATCACATAGGCAGGCTTACACTGCCAATTACACAGCAAAGTTTGAGTTACTGACTCAGATCTGATATAACTGATATTTATATTATTAACTTTATTATTTCTTTTTCTCCTTTAGAAAGTCCTTTAGCTCTATTCCTATTCCTCTGAATCCTAATACCCTCTTCCTCTATTCTTTATTCTTCAAAATCTGCCTTCTTCCTACTGTCTCTTAACACTTTTTAAGTCTTGTCCTTTCATCAAACAATCTCCTGAGTTTCTTTTAGGTTTACTTTTGCTGCTTCCCAGACCAGGTTCAAAAACAAAACGGACTGACTCACTGGGGTTGTTTTGAGTGGTCGTTTTGCTGCTCTCTTCTTCATATTGTGTCTCAAGCTGTCTTCGAAGTCACTGCCTTCATCAGCTGATAAAGAATCACTATCCCTATGAGGGAGTACGGTTCTCCTTAGATACAACACCCTAGTCTCGCCATACAAAAGGGTAAATAAATTATAATTTCTCTTTGTCTCTAACTGTACCCCCTCGCCACGAGAAAAATATATTCATATTTTCTTTAAGAGATGAAATTACTGTTACCAGAAAGTAGGAACAAAGTCTTAAAGGAAAACTTTCACTTGAAGAAAACAATGGAGATGAATAATGAAGAACTGAGGTGGGTAAAAGGCAACACTTTCCTAACAGTCTTTCTAAGAAAATAAAATGATATTCACTTAAGCAGGCTGTGTGGAGAAAAATCAGCACGGCTTGGAAAGTCATATATTACTCATACATAAACAGGAGATTAATATGCACTTGGAGTTAAATTCCACCCTTTGAAAAAATTCACATGTCTTATTGGTTAGAGTTAAGTTTATAAAATATAATCTGGTCTCCAACAGTAGTACTGACAAAAACAGAAATGGTTCAGAAAAGGCCAATTAAAATAACTATGGGATAAATCAGATCTTGTATGAGATTTTTCCCCCCCCTTGGAAATAAAAATCAAGATATATTATTATAACCTTCACAGAAAAAGCTCATAAATGATAGCAAACAAGGATAGACAGACCTGTATATAAAATCCCCAAATACAGGAGCTACAGAACACAAACTATAAAGTATATACTATTTGCCAGGCACCGGAAAAAGAACTCTTTACTTCCCATTTCCCTACCTCCCTGCCTCCACCAGAGGTTGTAAATGCTGAACATACAAATGTGTCCAAGAAAAGTTTAGACAATTGAAATGATGGATTTAGAACAGAGTATATTATTCTTGATGCCTACACAGTCAGGGCAGCCAAAATCAGCCAGCAGAGCTGGAGGGGTGTCACTGTTGTGAACCACTAGAACATCATTACGTTTTCATGCAGTCACACACGTTACTACCGAGGCCATAAAATGGAAGAGGGGAAAGCTACCGATGATGTAGGAGAAAGCCAAACAAGTATTTTCTCACCAACTTCACTCACCCCTCTTTAGTCTGGTCCGAGTCCCTGTCATCACAGGGCACACTGACAGACAAACTAGGAGATGTAGACAAGTCCCTCTGTCCACCTCTCACTGCTCTTTGCAGTGGAGAGGACACATTGCTTGGAGAGGAGGAGCTATGGAGCAAGGAGGAGGAAGATCGAAGGGTAGGCATGGTGGTCCAGCTGCAGAAAGAAAGAGAGGAAAGGGCTCCTACCCCACCGCTTCTCCCTCCCCAGCCCCGGCCATCCCTTTTCACTCCAAGGGAACTGCTCTGGAACTCGAACGGGGGTAAGTCCACACAAAAAACATGAGTCTTTATCTAATGCTCTATCTAGGGAATTAAAAACCACCGCCCCAGATGCAGACTACAGGTTTGGAGCTGCTCTCCAAGCACGGAGTAAGGCACACACCAGAGCAGTTTAAAGTAGATCCCTCTCCAGATTCGGAAGCCTCAATGCCTAGTGTAAATGAACAAATTCTTACATTACTAGGTAGGTAGGTAGGTAGATAGGTAGGTAGGTAGGTAGATAGATAGATAGATAGATAGATAGACAGACAGACAGACAGACAGATAAACACCCAGATTTAATTTCTAGAAAGCTAGTACTACTTAATTCCGCGTGTAATGGAATGAGACGCCATTAACAATGTGGGGGTGGGGGCAGCATAAGACTAGGGCCAGAAACGCTTAGCGTAAACGAAAGCTCGCGTTCTCTACTTTTCGAGACGGTGGTACTTCTGACCCTCCCCGGGCTTTTTCTTTGGGCGGAGAAGCCGTCTAACGGCTCATTAGAGTGACTATCAGTCTCTTGCGGACTGGAAATGGAGGCAGCCATTGAGGCATGGAAGAGGGAGGTCCTTCTCTCAGGGACGGGAGTAGGAGTGGGGCTGTGTATTCTTGGGTCAAAGAGGAGCCTCACTGTCTGAGTCCGGACCAGCGACTTCTGGCTGAGCACGGTTGAGGAAAAGTCACCACCTGGTGTCCCGCGGGTCTCTGAAGTCATCCCACCTGCGGCACAGGAGCCCGCCGCTTCCCTTCCAGTGGCGGAAGAATCCAGAAAAAAGCGGGAAGGCGCGAGCTGTGTTGCGCGCAGGCGCGAGCCCAACGGCTCGCCCAAGGCTGGTAAATATCGCGAGGCTTGGGCGTGTGCGAGCTCGTGCTCACCACGTTCCAGTCAAGCTGCTCGGCCGCCTCGTGCGGCCAGCAGCTCGCCCGCGTGCCGCCCCGTCACGTGGTCTCGGGCGCCAGCTACAGCTCTGCTCCACCCCGGACCCGACCCTCTACCCCCAATAGCCACAACCCCCTCCCTCCCCTCTGCAACCATTGGCCCGGCTTCGCACTAGACCAGCAGAAGCCCCTTCAATCTGGCTTCTCAACTGCAATAGGTTAGGTTCCACCCAGGCCCCGCCTTTCGAACCGGGTCGCCACGCCCCTGAAAAAAGGCCACGCCCCTCCCCCACCAACCTCCTTAGTTCAGCCGAATCCCAAACCCTCTGCGGAGTTTCCCCATTACATTGGCTTAATTTCTCCCTTGATCCCGCCCCTGAGGTCGGCCCCTTACCATCATTGGCAGGGTCCCGTCTTGGGCCCCGCCCCCTGTCTGGCTCCCGCTCCCATTGTCTCGGCAGATGCCGCCTGGTCCAGCTACCGTGCTGGGTGTTCAGTTTTCCGAGGTCGCGCTCTTTCTCTGGCCGGCGGGTCCGTCCTGCATCAGAGAACTGGCTTCCCGAGTTCGGGCGTCTCTTCTTTCCTCCGTAGGACCCACTTTGCTGCCCCAGGGTCGCAGCAGCTATGTCCAGGCTGCGAACTCTTCTGCTTCTGCTGCTGCCTCTGTGTCTCGGTCCTAGTTTTGGACCTGGGAGCGAGGCAAAGGTCACCCGGAGTTGCACTGAGACCCGGCAGATTCTGGGTTCCCGGGGATATAGCTTAAGCCTACTCCCTCCCGCCCCGATCTCAGGTGAGGAGAAAGACGAAGACTAGAGAATTAGGGGAGAGGGAGGGAGGCAGGGGTGGGTCTTTCCCATCTCACAATAACTCTCTTCCCTCATTTAGAGTAACCGTTATAATAATCTTTTCATTCCATAGTAATAACATCTCTCCTCCTCCTGAACTTCCTTACCAGTATCACAATAACTCTCTGGTTCATATAATAGCTCTCTGACTATACCCCCACCCTAGGAATCCCTTTCAAGTAATTAGCATCCACCTCTATTTCTTCATTTACAGCCCAGTTTGTTCCCCTCGCTGTTTCTAAGAGCACTCCTATAATACTTTCGTGCTTACCAAGTAACCCCACCCCTCCAAACCCCATTCTTCCCATAGAAGCTGTCTCATAAGTCCTTAGAGGCCTGGGGTGCATGACGTTGGGGAGGGTTCTCTGAGGACTCTGATCACTAATTTGGCCCATCACTATTTTTGATGCCATGGCTAATGGCAGCGGACTTGGGATGGGTGGGGGGACAATAAGGTGGGGATAGCATCAGGTGGGGATGAGGTTGCAGAAAATAGAAAAGAAACCAGACAAGTGAAAGAGAAGGGATGACCACCAGAGACTGGCAGAAGGTAGGAATTTTACACCTCTTGCCACCATTCTTTATCACTTCTCACCATTCCTTGTGTCTCCTCTGTCTAGGTGAGCACCTCCGGATCTGTCCCCAAGAATACACCTGCTGTTCCAGTGAGGTAGAGGAGAGGCTGACCTGGGACACCGAGGCTACCTTCCGAGGCCTGGTGGAGAAGAGTGGCTCCTTCCTGGTTCACACACTGTCTGCCCTGCACAGAAAATTTAATGGTGAGGACTTGGGGTCCCCAAACCTGGCCACATACCTCAGCTGTGCTCATGACCCCAGCAAGCGTCCTGTCCTTACTTCCTACTCCATCCCTAAGGCACCCAGCACTGCCCCTCCCACTCTAGGCTCTCTCCAGGGTCCTGCCCCACCCCATTCCCAGTCTGCCCAGGTCTGAGAATTGGCTGTTTCTAACTCACTTGTCTTTTCTCTTCTCTCCCCATCCCCATCTCTTCCTGCATCTGCTCTTTCACTTTTCTATTCTTTTCTGGCTTCACCTCACCTCATACCCCTTTTTTTCATTTGCCACAGGGGCTTTTCTGGAGATGATCTCATCAGCTGAACACTCCCTGGCCTTGCTCTTCCACCGGTCCTATGGACAGCTGTATTCCCAGCACACCCCCTTATTCACTGGCCTGTTCACTCGGCTGCGAGACTACTATGAGAAGTCTGGTGAGGGATTAGATGACGCCTTGGTGGATTTCTGGGCACAGCTCCTGGAGAAAATGTTCCCCCTGCTGCACCCAGAGTACAACTTCTCCCCTGACTACCTGTTCTGTATCACACGCCTTGCCGCCTCTGCTGATGACTCTCTGAAACCTTTCGGGGACTCACCCCACCGTCTCCGCCTGCAGGTGAGGGGTCCCAAGTACTGAGTTTCAGCTACCTCTGACTTAGTGACCTATGAAGTGTGCACTCAACCTCCAACCCAACGACCCCCACTTCATGCCCCAGTCACCCCTGATATTGTGATCCCCACACCCTGCATGGCAGCTATCTCTGACCTGGTGACCCCTCTTTGAGCCTCAGTCACCCCTGCCTGACCCAATACTTCTTGGTCTCCTTTAATTGAATGTCCCCCCTAGTTTCACACACATCCCTGACCCACTCACCTGCTCTTGGCCTCCAGCCACCTTTCTGCCAGTTCCTCCCTTATCCTAATATCCTGATTTCCTCTGGTTCAACTAAATGTGAATTAGGCACTTAATATTTGAGAACAATTTTCATTTTATAGTATCTTGTTTAATTGTCATTGTAACTCTGTGAGGTAGATGGTAGTAGCCTTGTTTTACAGATGAGAAAACTGAGCCTCCCAGAAGTTAAGGCCTCATCACAAGTAAATGGTAGAGCTGTAACTCATACCTAGGTTTCCTGGCTTCAAGTTCAGGGTTTGTCCTGATGCACAGACCATCTGATTCCAAGCCCTGTAAAACTCAGGCCCTCCAAAACTCAATCTCTCTACCTCTTCCCAAGCCTAGCTCCCCTTGATCCTTCTAGACTAATTCTTTTGAGCCTCTTGGACATACCTCCCTATACCACCTGACACTCCTAACCACCCCAGGGTAACTCTACAACCTAACCCCTACTGCCTGTCTCCTTGGTGTAGTTTGTTGGCCCCAGTCTTGACTGATGCACCACAACCTTGTGGTTTTTCTCACCTTCTTTCCCCTCACCCAGGTAACCCGGGCCATGGTGGCTGCCCTGGCCTTTGTCCAAGGTCTGGAGACTGGAAAAGATGTGGTCAACGAAGTGCTTAAGGTTGGAGGAAGCCTGAGTATGGGCAGGGCTCAGGGAGGGAAAAGGAGAGTAGGAGAGACCCCTTGAGGGAGAGTCAGGTGCCAGCTAGCAGGAGAGATCTGGGGCCTTCTCATATCAGACTCAAGGCAATGGCATCCCAGGGAGAATCAGTAAGGAGGAGAACCAGAGCGAAGTCTCCTTTGTGTCATGATCCATGACTTCCTCCCACCTCTGACCCTTTCCTGTGCCTCTGATGACTCATACCCTGCCAGCCTCTGGGGGTCTGCTCATCTTCGTAGCATCCCAAGATGGGAGTACTGCCCACCCTGGTTTCCTCCAGACCCCTCAGTGGCTCCCCCTTCCCTGCTGCTGAAGGCCAGATTCCTGATCTGGTGTTCAAGGTCCTCTCTCCATTGCCTGTTCTCTTCCCATCTACTTTCCCTTACCTCCTGCATCCTCAGTCTCCTCCTTCCTCAACCACGATGGGCTCATTCTTGTCCTTAAACCTTTTCTCAGATCCCCTTACCCCGCTACCACTGCCTCTTTAGTTTCATCTCTCCTAAGAAGTGGTATCTATAACCTGGCTCCTAGGAACTTCCCTCTGCAGTTTTCTGGGGTCTTATTTGCTGCCACATGGGGTCACCAACCCTAGTCATTCATGTCACCTTTCCATATATGGCCAGGAGGGATGGGATATTTGATTTATCTCTGTGCCTAGCACCAAGCTTGGCTGAGGGCAGCCTCAGTGTTTGTGGATGACACAGCCCAGTTCTCTGCCCCCAGATGCCCATATCCGAAGGCTGCAGGCGGGCTGTGATGCGTCTGACCGGCTGCCCTCTTTGTCAGGGTGTCCCCTCGCTGCCACGCTGCCGGGGCTTCTGCCTCAACGTGGCCTATGGCTGTCTCAGCAGTCAGACACTGGACCCTGACTGGGGGACCTATCTAGGTGAGGACTCAGGAAAGCCTGGGAAGACTGTGTAGGGGTGAGTGGGGAGGGCTGGGAGGGAGTTTTAAGCCATATTGAGGAGGAGCATGGCGGGTAGTCCTTCTCATGTGAGTCTCCCCCATCCAACACCTTGCTGCTCAGGTCAGGATTTGTGGGAACTTCCTAGTTCAGTGAGTACCTCCCTAGCTGTCCCCTCATTTCTCCCTTTGTCTTTCTCCCCCTTCTTCAAGATGGTCTCTTGTTTCTGGCTGAGAAGATTCAGGGCTCCTTTTCCTTTGAGCTGGCAGCCCAGTCCATTGGGGTGAAAATAGCAGAAGGTCTGATGTATCTGCAGGAAAACAGTGTAACGGTGTCCACCCAGGTACTGGGGCCTTGAGGAATGTGGGAGTGTCAGCTTTGGGGGTGGAGACATTATGGGATGTCAGCTCTAGTACAGGAGAGAGAAGGGTGGAAGTCAGGGCCTGGGGTATAGTGTGGGGTGTCAAGGAGATGCTGTAAGGTATCTGGGGAAACTGGGGTGTCATGGAAGATTGAGGTGTTGGAGCAGGTACACAGTGTGAATTTCACTGCATGGGGGGCACCTCTTCCCTGTGCCACAGGTGTTTCAGGAATGCGGGGGCGCCCCAAAGTCCCATGCCCACTCCCGCAGAGCCCCAGCCCCCGCTGAAGAGGTGGGTCGGCCGTGGACCGCGAGGGCGGAGAAGAAGCCCGCAATGGCGGCGGGCAACAGGCTGCCCAAGCTGGTAAGTGGGGGTGAGCAGCAAAGAAACCACCGGCTGCAAGGGTGCAGCGGGCGGGCCCACTGAGTGGGCACTCGCTGCAGCTCTACCCACTCTCTCTGCACGCCAGGTGTGGGAGCTCCGCGAGCATCTGGGCCGGGTACGGGGCTTCTGGGCTGGGCTGCCCCTCACGATGTGCAGGGATCCCACCGTGGCAGCGGAAATCGCGCAGGAGGCAGCACCCTGCTGGACCGGAACCGGGCGGGGCAAGTGAGAGCCAAGCTGGCGGGTGGGCGAGGCCCGAATCTGGGATTGGTACGGGCCCACCGGGCTGGTTGGGAGACTTCGGGAGCTGCTGTACTCGCAGGTACTTGTTGCCCGTGGTCGGGGGCTCCTTGACTGAGCGGCTCGACAACCCAGAGCTGGATGCGGAAGCCTCAAACCCCGATCTCCGGACGCGGATGCAGCGGCTGAGGCTTCGGGCGGCCACGATCAGGATGAGGGCGGCCGCCCTAGGACAAGACCTGGAACTGGAAGACTGGGGTGAGACCTGTGGGGTGCCCCGAGGGCCTAGCTCCAATAGCCACCTGCATTTGCACCCGGGCCCCATCCACTGCCTTCTGAGTCCCTCCCCTCACATCTGTTATCATTCGACTATTACTCATTCATTTTACAAGCTAGTATTGAGCACTTACCTCGAAGGTAAGGGGTAGAAGACCAATGAGAGAAAAGGTCTCTATCGGTGAGTTCACGGTCCTGTTGGGAAGACTACAAAACATTATTACAGAACTCTGGGCAAAAGGCTATAGGAGTTTGGGGAGGAGGAGCAACCCCAAGGGAAGGTGGGAAGGCGGGGGTCATTGGGCTTGCTCCTCAAGGTAGAGTTTGACAGTGAAGCAAGGCAAGGACATTCAGTTTTTTTCTCTCTCATCATCTCTGTCTCTCTTTACCTCCCCTCCCCCCCTCCTCTTCCCTGTGTGCTGGCTGCTTCTGTGTACCTGTTTCCTATCTTTTCTTGTTTATCCTCTCTTCCCATCTGTCTCTTTCCTGCCTCTGTCTCATTTTCTTTTCCTGTCTCTCATCACCTTCCCTTATTCCCATGTCTGCCTGATCTCTGTCTCCTTGCTTTCTTAATACTGTATTTCTCTCTCTTCCCAACCCCCAACTATCTACCTGTGTCTCCTGCCACTCTCTTTCGTACTGTTTTTGAGTTCTCTTCCTTCCTCTTTCTATCTCTCTCCCTCTGTCTCCCACTGCTCCTCTTGCCCATCCCTGTCTGTCTCTGATCCTCTCCCTCCCTGCAGATGAGGGCACCAGTGGCTCTGGACAGGGACAGCACTATGCAGATGACTGGATGGCTGGGACAGCAGCTGTAGCTCCCCCCGCCCGGCTTCCTCGCCCTCCTCGAAGAGATGGTGCTGGGAGCAGAGGAAGAGGTGTCATCATCCGCAACAACCAGGGCGGGAGTAGGACTGGGGGGACGTCTGTTGGTTTTCACACCCAACCCATCCTCATTCTCTTCCTCTCAGTCCTGGCCCTGCTTGGACCTCGATAACAGGGAAGGGGTGCCCTGGCATCAGAAGGGTTCATGGCTCTTCCCCTCCTCCCCACTCAGCTGGATCTGGGGAGGAGTTGAAGGGGGCTGCCATGAAGGTAGAGAAGGGACTTTTTGGGTAAATGGCTGGGGCCCCAAGTCCAGGAGATTCCTATTGGGAGTGGGTAGGTGTTCACAATATTTATTTTTTCATTTGGTATCTGGGGTGGGGTGGGGTGGGGGGAGCTGTGGGTATTTATTTAGGAAGGAGGTATGGTCTCTCCAACCAAGCCCATAAGTTTGGGGTCAGCCCCATTGAGGAGAAAGGGAGGAGTTTTAGAGTGTTAGTTGGAGGGTGGGATTTGAAGGAGGTTGGAAGTTCGGAGGGGCGGGTTCACCTGGTTTCAAAATGTACAAAGCTGGGTATTGACTGGGTGTGGGGCAGAGGGGACTAGGGTGTATGAATAGGATGTCAGGATCTATGGGCCTGGGTTCTTCTAAGTTTTTTCAGTCAATTTCCTAAACTAAAATATAAAAAGAAAAAAAGACTCATTACCTCTGCCACCCACATCCTTCACAAGCTTTGCATTTTACAAATAAACAACTAATTTATTGGACCCTGAGTGTGACTTTCTATAACTTCAGCATCCCTCCCTGAGCCCTAGCTCCTGGAAGAAGTCCCGTGACAAGTTCATTTTTGCCTGCTTCTCACCTCTCTTGAAACCTGTGCCCTGATAACTGAGTTTGAGCAAGTTGTCCACCCTCTAGATCTGAGAACCTACATCCGTAAAATAGGGGAAAAAATGGGGACCAAACAGGAACTGTGTGAGGAAGCACCTTGTACTGGGAAAATTATTTTTGAACACGAGGCACCATTAACATTACCACACCCCTGTCTACTGCCTTCAGGGTGAGAAGCTCCTATTCTCTCTGCAAGTCAGCCTCTGGCTACCTTGTCACGAGTCCTTGAAAATGTCTGCTTTAGACTCTTGTCTGTTACTTTCTCCTTTCCTTCTTTTTGTCTCCTGAATGAGCCTTTTGTCCTGCAAAAAGAGAAAGACAAAAAAGTAAAATTGATTCCTAAGTGTGAAAGGGTAGAAGCAGAGTCTTCCAAGGGCGGGCTGGGTGCCCTGACAAGGGAAAGTTGCCAGGAGGTTCTGAAACCCAGCAGAGCGATCAAAGCTGCCGGGACTGGCTGGACAAAGGGAGGGAGAAGGGAGGAGCTTGGGCTCTGAGAAAGTTTACGGGGAAAGTTGAGCAGAGCTAGAGGAGCTGGGTGGTGGCTGAGGGGCGGGGAGCGGTGGGAGGAGGGCCAGATCCCAATTTCCCTGCTGCTCTTCAGGTGACTTGGTAAGTGGGCAAGTGACACTGAGGCTGCAGCCAGTGGAGGGACTCTTAGAATTTATGGGAGGAGTCTTGGGTAAGGGGGCATTCATAGACCCTGGAAGGGGGCCAACAAAGGGCTGGTGATTAAGTAGTCACCAAAGTTGGAGGGCGCAGAGGGCTGGAACCTAGGGTAATGGGAGGAGACAGACGGGTGGAAGGAGTAAAAGAAATATGGACACAAGAGTTCTGTGCAGGGCTGAATACTGGGGGCTATGTTGGGGGAAGGCACAGGCGAGTGATGCCAGAGGGGGCGGGTCTCTAGGTAGCAAGTATGGGTTCTCTCTGGGGTTACTCCAGGCTCACCCTGGAAAGGGGCTGTCGAGACTTGATGGAAAGGCTGTGGTCTGACTTTGTGGGTTGTAATCTGAAGGGGTGGGTAGGGACTCCCAGCAGATTAGGAAACTGGGGCCTGGGTAGGGATTCCAAACTGTGTTTGTGTCTGTCAGAATTTCTCTCTCTCTCTCTTCAGCCCCACCCTCTCATTCTCCTTTGGGTGCACTGATGGGGTTGGAAAGAGAACAGCTGGGGTGTGTGGGGGTATGTCTAGGGAGCTGGGTTTCATAAGTAACCCTGCGTCTCCCCTAGCCCCTCCCACACTGGGGTCTGCCCCGTGCTGAGAGGAAAAAGAGATGCCTGAATTTAGACCAGATGACTGATTCTTACTCATTACAAAGTCACTCCTGTAATCTCACCTCCATGGGTTCATCTGTCCGACTGAAATTCCCTCCTTATGGCTTCCCCTTTCAGCCTCCAAATGGGGCTCTTCATTCCAATCTGTCACAGAGGCTCAGGAGGAAGCCAGGAACCTGGCGATGTCCACCCCACTGTTGTATAAGTGAATTGGTCTGATCTTTCTTGCAGGGTCTCTGCCTTTTTCCTCTTCCCTTCCAAATCCCTGAGGCTCAGAGAGAAACTGTAGATGGAAGCTGGGGGAGCTGGAGGCTGACAGCAGAGGAATAGTTGTGGGGCCACCTGGAAGATCTGGGTATAGCGAGTACGCCCTCTTCACTGCCACTCCCTTTGTGAATTAGGTCTCAGATGCAGCAGCAGGAGAGAAGTCTCTAACCTCTCCTTAGACTCCTCTTCCTCCCCTCATTTTCCTTCTAGACGCTGACAGAGGTAAAAATCTGCTAACTCAGGGGGCAGACTCAACCAGGGCTGCAAGCAGGCCTGGGGAATGACCCCCCATCTCGAACCTGCACCTTCTGGAGTTGCACAGCTGTCTCAAGCTGTCTCTACCTCTGTGCCTGGCCCTTGCCCTGTCACCTTTCCCTGTGCCACATGGGCTCTACCAGGACCATGCGCCTCTGGGGGCCTTGGAGCCTGGGGGTGGCTCTGGGAGTCTTCATGACCATTGGATTTGCCCTCCAGCTCTGGGGGGGACCCTTCCAGAAGAGGTGAGTTTCATCTTATCCCAATGCCCAACAGATGCTCCCTACTTGCTCCCACCAGTCCTACCTGGAGCTGTGATTTGTGGGAACTAACTCTAGGCCCTGTCCTTGCTCCACAAGACATCCATCCACCTGCTGATGGGGGCCAGGACACTTCCCCTCCCATCTCTCCCCAGGTTACCTGGGCTGCAGCTCCGACAGCCATGGGCCCCATCCCCAGGACCAGCTGTTCCGTCCTGCCCTCCCCGGCAGCGGCTGGTGTTCCTGAAGACACATAAATCTGGGAGCAGCTCTGTGCTGAGCCTGCTTCATCGCTACGGGGATCGACATGGGCTGCGCTTCGCCCTCCCCACCCGCTACCAGTTTGGCTACCCAAGGCTTTTCCAGGCCTCTTGGGTCAAAGGCTACCACCCTCAGGGGGGAGGCACCCAGCCCCCCTTCCACATCCTCTGTCATCACATGAGGTTCAACCTGAAAGAGGTGAGTGGGTGTAAAGGGGGTGGATGGGACTGGAGAGACATGGGATCAGGCCTGTGGACAAGACCATCAGGGGAGGAGGCCGCAGGACTGGGGGCTTCCCAAGTGTCACTTCACTCAAAAGTTGGGCATGGGGGCCATGAAGGTGAGGTTTCCTATTCTCCTCTCCTTAGCTGTCCCTACCTTAGTATCTCTGAGAGTCGAAGTCTTGCACTCTCCCATCTGGAATTCACTCATCTCCTTCATTGACCAGTATATCCTGCTGGTGTCAGAGCCCTGTCATCTCTGATCCCCCTCCTCCCAAGTTCTCCCTCCAGGTGCCCCTGGCTCTTCTTGGCCCCTTCCACTGTCACTAAGACCTCTGCTCAGCCTCTGACCTGTCTTCCTCTCACTCCCCTCACCACATCTTCCAGATTTGGGGGATCAGGGCTGGGCCAAGCCCTAGCCCAGCCCTGACACCCTTGGAGCCTCAGTTCTAAAGGAAGAGATGGGAACATGCACTCACACAGTCATCTGTATACACATAGAAACCTGAGAGCTCTTGGAGGAAGAAAGTCAATGTGCAAATGAAAACATACAGGGATGAGACTAACTTTTATTAAATACTTCTTGAGTGCTGGGTATTAATCTTACCATCACCTTGCCAAGAAGGCATTATAAGTGTCCCCATTATACAGATGAGGAGTTTGAGCCTCCGAGAGGCTAAGTGACTGCTTTTTGTTATCCGATTTGAACTCAGGCCCATCTTCTCCAAAGTCAAAGTGCCTTCCGTGGCATGTGTGTGTGTATGTATGTTTGTATTTGGAACTGTCGGGGAGAATATTCATCAAAAGGGGTAGGGATTCCTGGAGAGGTAGGTTTTAAAGGAAAAGGTGGGCATGTTTTTATAGTAAGGAGCACATCAGGCATTCTTAGAGGGAGCAAGATATCAGCAAAGACATGGTGGTAGTGGTGGTGGTGTGTGTGTGTGTGTGTAAGGAAGGAGTATGTGTGTAGGAGGTAGAAATTCAGCAGGGGCTGCAAACACACTCTTGTTGAAGCTGGAGCTGGAGAAAGCAGCTAAGGAGCATGAGTGTAATGGGTAGCAAGGGCCCACTGCTGGAAGCGAGGTGATGACAATGATTTTTGAGGCAGGTTTCTCTAGAGGTTAGGGTGATGACCTTCATAGTCACCACCATTCATTGAATACCTATCATGTTCCATTTACTTCTACATGGAGGAATGAAGGCTCTGAGAAGTTCAATAACCTGCTCAAAGTTACATGACTGGTAAATAGCTGACTTGCTATTTTATTCCAGGCCTACCTGATGCCACAGACTATTCTCTGCTCTGTTCTCCTCTGCTTTCAAAGGGATACACAGGGCACATGCTCTGCCCTGCAGGCATGCCCATATTAGCAGAGCAGATTGGAGGGCATTGTGTCAGGGAGTCAGGTTCAATGAGAGAATTAACGTTCAGAGGCATAAACTCTTCAGGGAGCCCAGGAGCTGGTTTCTGACATGGATCTGCTTGACTCAGCCTGATTCCTACCTTCCTTCTTGCTAAGATCAAATGTCCCAGGCCTCAGGGAAGCCCCCTACCAAGTGACCCTTGCTCCCACGTTCCGTCCAGGGATGTCTTTTGCTCTCCAAAATGCTTAGGAAACCCAGAAGTACCCTGTCTTTTGATCATCTTGGGCTTGTCTGCCCACCTGAAACCTATACCTGAGACAGTATTATGGTTGCCCCCTCTCCTCTCTCTTTGCTACCAGTGAACACCCCTGAGAAGGCCTGAGATCAGTTCCTTTCTTGGAGCTATGACCAAGAGTACCAGTGTAGGCATTTAATAGTTTTTTGTTGGAGAAGTGAACACAAAGTTTGATTGCTAGAGGTTTTACTGACCAAGGCAGACAAAAAGGCCCAAGGAAATAAATGTTCTCCAAGAGCTTCCCATGTTCCAGATTTCTTTATATCCTTTATCCCATGAAGCCTCCATAATCAGCTGGGAAGGAAAGTATAAATATCCCCATTTTGCAGGTGAGCAAACTGAGTCTCAGAGATGTTGAGTAATTTGCCCAAGATCTGTCAGCTAGTGAAGGAAGCTGGGGGTTCCTGGAAGACCTGTGAGGAGGAAGTCTGAAGAGGCTGGGTGATCTGTGAGCATTGTGCTTGCACTCTGTTTCTTCCTGGTACAGTTCTTTCTCCCTATGTCTGTTTTCTCTCTTTTGCAGGTACTTCGGGTTATGCCTTCTGACAGCTTTTTCTTTTCCATTGTCCGAGATCCAGCAGCTCTGGCCCACTCTGCCTTCTCCTACTATAAATCCACCTCATCGGCCTTCCGCAAGGCACCTTCCTTGGCTGCTTTCCTGAACAGTCCTCGAGCCTATTACCGGCCTGGAGCCCGTGGGGACCACTACGCACGCAACTTGCTATGGTTTGACTTTGGCCTCCCTTTCCCCCCAGAGATGAGGACCAAGAGAGGAAATCTTCATCCCCCCAGAGACTCCAACCCCCCACAGCTGCATGTCCTGCCTTTCGGTGCTGATCCTCGAGCCTACACCCTGGATCCCAATGCTCTCTTCCATCCTGCTCCTACTGCTGCTAATGGTCCCAGCCAGACATCCAGCTCTGCCACTTTAGGTTTGGGGTCTTCATCCTTCATCCAGTGGAGTCTGGCTTGGCTGGATTCTGTCTTTGACTTGGTCTTGGTGGCTGAATACTTTGATGAGTCATTGGTTCTGCTGGCAGATGCCCTGTGCTGGGGTCTAGATGATGTGGTAGGATTCATGCACAATGCCCAGGCTGGAAGTGAGCAGGGCAGAAGTACTGTCAGCAATGGTGGACTGACCACTGAGGACAGGCCGCTGACTGCACGGGCCCGAGCCTGGAACAACCTGGACTGGGCTCTTTATGTTCACTTCAACCACAGTCTGTGGGCACGAATAAAGCAATACGGCCAGAGCCGGCTGGAGAGTGCAGTGGTGGAGCTCCGGGCTCGCCGAGAGGCCCTAGCTAAACATTGCCTGGTTGGAGGTGAGGCTTTAGACCCCAAACACATCACTGACCGACGGTTCCGCCCTTTCCAGTTTGGGTCAGGTAAGATTTTGGGCTATGTTCTTCGGAGTGGACTGAGCCTCCAAGACCAGGAGGAGTGTGAGCGCCTGGCCACCCCTGAGCTACAGTACAAAGACAAGCTAGATGTCAAGCAGTTCCCCCCAACAGTCTCTCTGCCCCTCAAGACTTCAAGGCTACTCTCTCCCTAGGAATTAGACCACTAAATCTTAGGTTGAAGAGCAGCTAATCTACAAGGACGCATGTGATAACTGTGTGGCAGCCAGATGACATTTTCCCTTCCCTCAGAAACCATATCTACTCCCTAGAGGACAAATGGAACTTTGCACAGATGTGAGCCCAAAGTCCTCCAGCCTGTGCCAAGGAATCCAGTCGTTCAGTTCCTAACAGGATCCCCAGCCCCATTTTGCCCCTTCCCCTTTCCAGCCCCCTAGCAGGCCCCTGTAGCACTCTCAAGAGGCTCCCTGGAGGAGTAAACCATGGTGTAAGCCAGAGAAAATTTGGGAAAAGGTAGATTAGAAAAATGTGTTCATTTTTCTATGAAATATTTGTTACTGAACTATGCTCATTTCATCATGAAATGTTTGTTCAATGAATAAATAATCTGAAACTGGGACTTGCTTTATGTAGGGAGGAAAGGGATGGCGCATCTTCCTGGGAGGAGTGGGGTTGTAAGGAATTCTAATATTTATTCTCTAAGAAGTGTTTCTGTAGTCCCTCCTAAATCCTTCTTGCTGCACCCTAACACGAACCGGACCCCGCCCCTCTCCTCCAGGGTCCGTCACCCACAAATTCCGGGGCCTCAGAGGCCACGCCCCTTCCTTTCCGCTTCCGGTTTATATCCAGTCATTCGGCCCCGCACCCGGTTCCGGCCCTGCGGGGTCTCGGTTCCGGGTTCGTTGCCCCGGTTTCCGGCCCCGGCGGGTCTCTTGGGCTGGCCTGGCCGCGCATAGCCCCCGTAGGGTGTCGGGACTACCCGGACCCACCCCAGAGGCCCCTTGCCCAAGGCAGCCTTGGCCCGCCTTGCCCCCCGGCCGCGCAGTCCTCGCCACTCCATGGAGTCCCAGTGTGACTACTCGATGTACTTCCCCGCCGTGCCGCTGCCGCCGCGCGCAGAGCTGGCGGGGGACCCAGGCCGGTACCGGGCGCTACCCCGGCGCAACCACCTCTACCTGGGGGAGACTGTCCGCTTCTTGCTGGTGCTGCGCTGCCGGGGCGGCGCGGGCTCCGGCGCCGGGGGTGGCGTGAGCTTGGGCTCCCATGGGGCCTGGGCGGAGCTGGCAACCACTCTGGCCGCCCTGGCCTCAGTTAGCGCCGGAGGCGGGGCGCCCGGGTGTGGTGGCTCCAGCAACCTGGATCCCGAACCCCCAGGGGGCGGAGATCCTGGTGGTGGGGCGTTGTTTCGAGGCTGCAGCCCCCTTCTCACTCACGGCCCTGGCCCTGCTACCTCAGGGGGAACGACCACGGTGAGCAACTGGGGTGACATGGCAAAGGGCGGTGGGGCTGTTTGCTAGGCTTCCAAGACAGGAGAGGAGAGGGATGGTGGAGGGAAGCAGAAGGCAGATGACGGATGAGGAGAGGGGAGGGCAAGAAGAACCACGCACGGCAGATCTTAAAGGGAACGCTGCGGGGCTGTCTCTCCTGACCTCTTCACCCCTTTAACACTCCCAGCTGCCTGTGGAGGAACCAATTTTGTCCACAGATGAGGTCATCTTCCCACTCACTGTTTCACTGGATAGACTGCCCCCAGGGACACCTAAGGCCAAGGTAAGATTGGCAAGGGGCGGAGCTGTTGTCCTAATTCAAATGCCCTTTCTCAGGCTGGCTGGCTCTCTCTCCCCTTGACTGTGGTCTTGTGTCTCCTTTGCTTAGATTGTAGTGACTGTGTGGAAGCGGGAGGTTGAGGCACCAGAGGTCAGAGATCAAGGTTACCTGCGCTTGCTGCAGACCCGATCTCCTGGGGAGACCTTCCGGGGGGAACAGAGCACTTTCAAGGCCCAAGGTGGGGAGAATGCACGAAGAAAATGCTAGAGTCTGGAATTTGGGGGACAGAGTGGAGGGGTGATATTGGCAAGTGCTCCATCTGAGAAGAGGAAGATTATAACTGTGGGTTGGAGGTGAAGTCTCTGCTCACAGCCCATCAGTTCTTGCCTCCGCCCTTTCCTGCAGTGAGCACCCTGCTGACTCTGCTGCCCCCTCCAGTTTTGAAATGCCGCCAGTTCACTGTGGCTGGAAAACACTTGACTGTTCTCAAGGGTGAGCAGATTGGTGGCTCAAGTCTTTGGGTAACAGCAAGGGCATTGACTGGGTGGCAGTTACTCTGTGCAGGTTGGTGGGGATAAGTCTGTTTCGGGGGGATTAAGTTGGGATCTGAGGGGTCCAGATACTCTTGAGCTAAGCTAGTTACCTCCTGCAGTGCTGAACAGCTCCTCCCAGGAGGAAATTTCCATCTGGGATATCCGCATTCTCCCAAACTTCAATGCCAGTTATCTACCTGTCATGCCCGATGGCTCTGTGCTGCTGGTGGACAATGTCTGGTGAGGTTTTGGGGCAGGGCTTCAAAGTGGTGGGGATGAGGGCAGGGTCAAGAGTTCTGGCATGGAAAGATTTAGCTCTGTCCCCCTTTCTTCTGAACCAGTCACCAATCTGGGGAGGTCTCCATGGGCTCCTTCTGTCGGCTCCCTGGTACCTCTGGCTGCTTCCCCTGCCCGCTCAGTGCCCTGGAAGAACACAACTTCCTATTTCAGCTGAGAGGGGGTGAGCAGCCACCTCCAGGGGCTAAGGAGGTGAGTATAAAGGGCTGGTGTGTTCAAGGAAAAAGTTTAAGAATCGGCAGTGGGAGGGAAAGGCCGGGGGGCGGGAGTGACTAAAGAGAGACCTCTGATACATGTGATGGTTCCCTTTGTCTCTCGTGCAGGGCTTAGAAGTCCCCCTGATTGCTGTAGTTCAGTGGTCTACCCCGAAGTTGCCCTTCACCCAGAGCATCTACACCCACTACCGGTGAGTGTATGGGAACCCCTGATGGGCACCATCCTGTTCACCTTTGTTTCACAACACACACACATCAAACTTTCCTCTTTCTCAATGCTTCTAGCCTGCCCAGCATACGCCTGGACCGCCCGTGCTTTGTGATGACTGCTTCTTGTGAGTCCCCTGTTCGGACTTACGAGCGTTTCACTGTCACCTACACGCTGCTCAACAATCTCCAAGACTTCCTTGCTGTGAGGCTCGTGTGGACCCCGGAGCATGCGCAGGCTGGTAGGTTGCTGCCAGGCTGGGACCTTGTCCCGAAGGAGAGGAGGGGACAGGAAGAAGTCATGGAGGTGGGTGACTTGTGGCAGGCTGTGTCAGCTTTGTACATGGGTGGTCTCCAGTGTCACAGACGGAGAGTTTAGAGAGGCGGTGGGGCAGAATGATTTAAGGGCACAGATACTGAAGCTGAACTCCCTGGTATGTTTGATTTCTACCTCTGCCATTTGCTAGTTGTGTGACCTTGGGTAGCTTACTTAACCTCTCTGAGCTGCAAATCCCTCATATCTCTAAAATAAAGAAAATAATACCTCATGGGGTTGTTATGGTGATTTATAGATTTAATGTATGTGAAGTGGTTAGAATAGACCTCAACACATAGTAAGAAAATATTAACTTGTTATTTATAAAACTTGGCAAGGTGGCTTTGAAGATCAAATGAGACTGTACTCATGAAAGCCTTTTGTGAACTGAGGAACACTGTACATGTTTACTAGTTGCTGTTTCTGCCCCCCAGGAAAGCAGCTGTGTGAGGAGGAACGCCGGGCTATGCAAGCTGCCCTAGACTCCATTGTCTGCCACACGCCCCTCAACAATCTCGGCTTTTCTCGGAAGGGCAGTGCACTCACCTTCAGTGTAGCCTTCCAGGCTCTAAGGACGGGGCTCTTTGAGGTGGGCTGGGGAGGGGCTGGGCAGTGTGGTGGGTGATGCAGAATGTCGAGGTGAGAGACGTCAGAGTCGCTAGCTTCTGTGGATGAAATACAGTGGGTGGCACTAAAAAGCCAGGCAGAGGGAAGGTGGAATCTAGGTCCAACATTGGCCTGTCAAGGGGAAAGATGATTTGAAAAGAGGTCTGGGGCCTGGAAGCCAAGCAGGAACGCTGATCCGTGTCTTTCCACACCAGCTGAGCCAACACATGAAACTGAAGCTGCAGTTCACTGCCAGCGTGTCCCACCCTCCGCCTGAGGCCCGGCCCCTCTCTCGCAAGAGCAGCCCCAGCAGCCCTGCTGTCCGGGACTTGGTGGAGAGGCATCAGGCTAGCCTGGGCCGTTCTCAGTCCTTCTCCCACCAGCAGCCCTCCCGCAGCCACCTCATGAGGTATGGAACCTCGGGAGGGGTGCCATTGGACTTAATAGAGGCTGGAAATGGAGGGGAAGCAGGAAGGGGTTCTGAGGTCTAACCAGAGCCCACAGTCTCTGCCTTCCCCCAGGTCGGGCAGTGTGATGGAGCGCAGGGCCATCACGCCCCCTGTGGCCTCCCCTGTTGGCCGCCCCCTCTACCTGCCCCCGGACAAGGCTGTGCTCTCTCTGGACAAGATTGCCAAGCGCGAGTGCAAGGTCCTGGTGGTAGAGCCTGTAAAGTAGCACCGTGCCGACTCTCCTCCCTCTTACACTCCCAAAATCCAATGCCTCTGGAAGGGGTCCTCACTCTAGGCTGTGCCTCCCCTGGGGATGCCTCCCGTTATGGGTGAGGAGGCCCAACAGGGCCACCTCTCTGTGTCTGCTGAGGAGGGAAGAAGCTGTGAAATGGGCAGGTATGGCTGCAGCTCTAAGCCAACAGTATTCCCCCGACTTCCTGGGGGTGCTGGCCCCACCCCTTGGCCAGGGCAAGGGCTCTAAGAGCTC